GGTCGTACATTTGATATCGCTCTAATGGATTTTTTAATGAAACTATCGTAACCAATCATAAAGACGGAGATAGAGATTAGTAATATTAATAATGTCAGGCTAACATAGCTACGGCGACTAATACCTATTAATATACAAATTTAATAATGCTTTTATGCGATTTTTGGTCCCGTTCGGAATTTGTACATTTTGGCATTTAAATTTGATTTTAAGATATAAAAAAGAAAAATAACTGGCCCTTAATCTTCTATCGTTATAAGAATAGAAGAAAAAGCGCTGAATATAAATCACCGCTACCATAAAAGATGCATATTTATGCAAATAGCGAATACGATATTCCTTTATTCCGAGCTTTTTCGTTCTGATTGTCGTTTTTATTTCTGTTTGTTTTAGACCAACTGCGGCCTGCGGATTAGATTTATAATTACTGCTCCATTCCAGTTTTCGTTCTGGACGGTTTGTTGTTTTAATTTATTGCTACTTAGAGCCTAGGGTTATAAGTTATAATTAAAACGGAAAGAATTAATGGGGACGCAGCCCGTTACGATGAAATCACCAAGATACTCGCAAATCACAAAAATCCATACGGAGGTCATAAGAGATGGAAGGATTCAATGAAAGATGTTGTAATCTGCAACAACAGATTCGGGAGCATCACGATGTAGGGAGGATCATCAACACCCCTCTGACTAACGACCTTAACTGTAATCTCAGAGTCCCAGGGTCAAGTCCGAAGAAGAAGAAGAGTTGATCCATGATCGCGTTATTTCCTTATTAAAAAATGCTTACCACTTTAAAGCCTCTAAATTTTTAATTTAGTTTAAGAATTGATATTATAAAGCAGAGATTGTTAACGTGTTGCTAAACTTCCTACTTCTTATTAGTAAAGACAGGTACAGATTTGCTTAAAGGAAATTGTTATATATGTAAATTGTGACCCGGCAAACGTTTAGCCATGTATATTATTTTTAGAAAACATTTTTTTAGTTCAATAAAAATAACTATCTACTATAATAAAAAATAGGGGTTGATCGTAGAGGGGTAACCATAGTTTGGTCTAAAAAATAAAAATTTAAAGGTGGGACCACCCTTAACATTTAGGGGGATGAAAATAAATGTTGTCCGATTCTCAGACTTACTGAATATGCATAAAAAATTTAATAAGAATCGGTCGAGCCGTTTCGGAGGAGTATGGGAATGAAGATTGTGACACGAGAATTTTATATATTAGATATGGTTACTAAAAACCCAAGTAAGTTTCAAACTTCTTAAATGTGAGGTATTAAAATTCATAAATTTAAAATACAATATTTATCATTGTATTAAATTTCATTTTGATATTCATACTATATATAATTACGTTACGCGGTACGGCAGGTTAAATTGTAAACTTATAGTTAAGCTTATAGTTTACCGCATGCGGTTTGATATATTGAACTTTTAAATTAACGTTCACTATATTTTATTGTTAAAATACGTATAGTATCGATATTTGTGAGGGAAAATATATGTTTGAATTTAACTGAGGAGTTTCATCTGTTTTCTTTATATTATTAACGGAAGAAATAAAGTAGTTATAGCAGCCAATGTAGACAGCTTTTAATTAATTTACTTAAAGAAAGGTCCTATTTGTTACCTTTCCTAAATATGTCAAGTTGAACATTGCAATGTCTGATAAAAACTAGGTAAATCTAACAATCATATATATTGTAGAAAAAGAAAAAAAAATCAGCCAATCACAAAATATTATAAAATTATAGTTCATGATTTCATATTACTTTTAATTTATAACTTAAAATTCTCACCTGTGACACGAACACATACATAAAAGAATTAATTCCTTTATATAAATTAGTATAATGACACTATTTTAGCCCTTTAGCTAAGATGACTTTATAAAACTAATTTGTCTCTTTTAATTTCATCGTAAAGAATGAGAATGAAAGGGACAGTACTCTGACGACCAAGTAGTTTTTTAATTAGATCAATTGAACTAATTTAAAAAACTTCAGCCTGAGACTCTCCTCTCAGGTCGTTGATTCTAACCCCGGCAATGCACCAATGGAGCGCATTTATTATTCGCTCGAATGGCGAAGGAAAACTTCGTGAGGATACCGGCTTGCCTTAGACCCAAAAAGTCGACGGGCTGTGTCAGGCAATGAAGCTGATCACATACTTGCCTATTAGATTGACAAATGATCATGAAACAGATTCAGATATCTGAGGCCCAGACCTAAAAGGTTATAGCGCAACTGATTAAACGTGATTAATAAGAGGGTATTTAACTCAGTAATTCAACTATATAATAAATTGAGTTATGTAACTACCCGAAAAATGTACAATATATTTTCTAACTCAATATTAAGTTTAAACCGTAGCTCAGGCCCACTTTATTAGGCACTAACTTCGTTAGCATTTATCTTCAAGATCTTCAGTATTTTTCCATTTTTCTGCAATGCGTTCTTCTATTTAATTTAAGAACATTTTGCGGATATATTATAGAAGGCGTTTTTAATAATAAAAACAGATTTTTTTTTCTTAAGCCTCTTAATAGGTTTTTTTTTTATTTGCAAAGTATCATTACAGTTACTAAAACACATTAAATAGCATATAAACTATTTTGTAGATTTAATAGATACTACCCGTTCAACATCGTATCCTCCATAACCTACGTATATTTTTATCAAAACTTAATACAAAAATATTTAAACAGAAATTTCTGACTACCAAGTGACAATTTTTGTTTCTAAAAAGACAAAAAACATCAAATATTTCCCAGTTAAGAACAGATTTAATTGGAAAATCTAATTGACGTATCTAGTATTTTTCTTTACTTATTATTTATGTTTCCCACCGTTTAAACCTTCCCCGAACTACCACAAATATTTCAAGATTAGCCAAATCTTTCCAGCCTTACCCGAGTTTTCGCGAGACAAACGGAAGGTTGTACATTTTAATATTGCCAAAGGTATGCTATGTCGTTATTGTTAATAGCGTCACAGCGCATGAACTGTGTTATATTTAGATTAACCTTTTATTTGACTGTCTGATAGAAGAGTTTTTTGCCAATTTATTGTAACGATACTTTGGCGACAAAAGTTGATTTTCTTATTTTGTTGACAATGGTAAATTTAAAACATATATTGCTTTCATATTATATGCACCCAGAATTATTCAAATGGACAAGTACTTTTATCTTTGTCCGATATCCGGACAGTTGCCGGATACTTCACATCCGGTTTCTTATTTGACCGGATATACACCGGACTTCGCTTATCGGATGAATTTATGCGTTGTTATTCATAGGTGCTTTGTTGTGCTTTTATACGGTTGCTGAGGGAATACGCTATTGAGTGGACCTGCAAATAGATGATTGTTCTGTTGGACTCCATCCAATCATTTTCTTTTCTTTGAAATCTTGAGAAATCTATCGGTTAGGATAAACAAATACAATAGTATAGACACTATATTATGCTGTAAAATAATATATGTTATTAATTTAATATCTAATATATAAAATTCTCGTGTCACAATGTTCGATCCCATACTCTTACGAAACGGCTCGACCGATACCTCTACGATAAACCCCTATGTTTTATTATGGTAAGTAGATAGTTATTTTTATTTAAAAAAAAATGTTTCCTAGAAATAATATACATGGCAAAACAACGTTTGCCGGGTCAGCTAGTAATATATATTGGAAAAAAAATATCAGATAATACTTTTATACCTATAAGAATTCCAAGTAGGTAACAAGCACAAATGATATTAATGAAAACGAATGACTATAATTAATATCGATAGCAGGCGATAAACTCTGCAGGTAATAATAATAATTTATTGCAAGAATATGGTACAAAAATGTGTAAAGTGGTACAATCGTAAGTTCGCATATTCTGCCACACACAATGGCGCGCAAATTTGTCTTTAAAGGAATTTTGCATTATAATTCATATGAATTGGTCAGTTCTTATATTATTTGTATCGTACATATTATATCATACGATTTTAAATTTATATCAACTACAGTGTCACACGCAAATAATCATTTATTTAATAATATTTTTTTCTAAAAGTAATACACCAAGTCAATTTTTAAAAACTATAGTCGGAAGATCTTTTAACTCTTTTGGTAAATTATTGTAAACCTTGATTGCCATACAAAAGGTTTGTTTCCTAAACAGTTCCAGATTGATTTTTGGCACAGCCATTTTCTCCCCATGTCTATTTCGACAGATGGTGATTCCCGTTGATTTAAAAATATGTATGTTTTTGTGCACGAATAAGGATATTTCTAAAATATACATACGGGGAAGAGAGAAAATTTTTAGCTTCTTAAACAAAGGTACGCAACTATCAAGACAGTTTGCTCCACAAATTGCTCTAATACATTTCTTTTGAGCCCTAAATACTTTATTTACTTCGACTGAATTTTCTCAAACTATTATTCCATATCTTAGTATAGATTAAATACAATTCACATTACTCTATAAGAGTACTTTAAAATAAAGCTCCAACATAAAGGACAATGCAATCAGAGAGAGCACAGTGCAGCCATCAGTCATGATCTCACAGTGAGTGATCGCAAACTTGGGCGGGTGATGGATGACTGAGAATTTACACAATTCGCCACGTATTGATAAGGGATATCTTAAAACGCTAATTTGCGTTTAAGCTTCGAAAAAGCTTTTATTGAAGTTCTTTATTTAAAATCAAATTAGATTTGGAATTTGGAAATATATTGTTGATTTCATTTTGTGAACATATGTCAGTGTAAGGTAGCTAAGTGGCTACACTCTTAAAATTATACTTAGTTTATTTTATAGAGTTTTTAAGAGGATTAGCTTAAATTTTAAGCCTTAAAATATAAGTGATTGTTGAATTTCCGTGTCAGGGTACTGACTTGGCGACGAAATGACTACTGCATACGCAAGCTACGAGTAGTTATACTCGTACATGTAATGATTTTATTCATTCTTAGAAAAGCACCACCTCGATGGCTAGTCTTCCACAGTCCGCTTCTTTAGGCATTTCTTTTTGCGAAGTGGCGAGGTGTGGATTCGACATCCGAGGTCGAGGTCTTCCTTAGGAGATACGACCTCAAAACTTTTCCCATCTTTTAAAATGGGCATGAGCATAAGAGAGGATCTTAAAGGTCGGCAACGCACCCTCTTATATGGGTGACCATGAGCTGTCTTGATCATTGTTCCGTAGTCTCGTTTGCCATATATAGGCAAAAGTAAAATGTATAACCAAATATATTTATTTTATATTGTATTTTACTTGAGTATAAATAGTAAGCTGGTAAAAGAGGAACAAAGCTGTCCATCAGTCGACGTATACTCAAGCCCTCTCAATTAAAAGCGTCCTATGTTAGAAGCAAATTGTTTCGTTCGGCGCTGCGTCATCGCTATCGAAAAATTCCAGTAAAGAAGACTCCTAAATGTAGTCTAAATTTCATACGAACACCGAAAAACGCCAAATAAATGAAGTTCAGAGATAGACTGCCATCTTTGTATTATACTTGGAATGAACGAGTTGTTTTTTTAAAGAATAGGGGGGCAAAGGAGCCTACGTGACCCTCCAAAAAAGCCAGTCATAGTACCCCATGGACACCCATTTTTAGTGGGTGCGTTGTCAGCCTTTCAAGGGGGAGTATATTCTTATCGATTCCACAGTTGTAGAAATGCATAGTAGCAGATTGCTTAGAGCAGGGTTTAAATAAGAATAAAAAGATATTTCATTTTACAGAGCTTCGAACTTTGAACAAAATTTCTCAATTCAGGTTTAAAATTCGAATGTCAGACTTCGGTAATTAATTTAAAGCTATATAGAACTCGAATAAATGTAAAAGTGCTTAATTAAAAAGTTCGGAATACAGCATAGTTTGTTTGCCGTCCACAAGTTTGGGACTCGTAAGGCTTTGCATGGCAGTCACGCTCCAATGAATATATCCGGTCATACGTGAGTCTTAGTTCTAACTCGTACTACTTGTTACTGGATACACACAGATGTTTGAGTTTTGGAGAGAAAATTGTTTTAGTTCAAGCGATTTTTAAAAGTCTAGGTTAGGTTATCAGTGTGATATTTGGAAGTAATTAAGGATTAGTGATTAATATTAAGGATTCCAAGGACGTTCTAATCGTGTTTCGTGTTTGTTCGCAATTTTTTTTTAATTAGGCATATTCCTACTAAAGGAACAGTGAATTTTTATTATATTCGGTTTAGTGAATTGAGAGATATACGCATTTTACAGAAGGCATATATATTGTTTTCAGGAATCGAACACAGTTAAATTTTTCACAATTACTATTATGGAATGTAAAATTTATTGGGGTCGAGTTGACAAATAATATATTTGAGTAAATTATAATTATTTAAGTTACGTACCGATTCATGTGTTGATTGTTTCGCACCACTTTTATAATTAAATAATCTTTAAAAAACAAAGCACCAAAATTATAAAAATAGTTATAAATTTGTATACAAATTATTTGAGTTTACATTGAAATTTCCAGCGGGTATATAGGAAAAGCCGCGCCCACAAGTAACTAGATACACTATGCAACGAAAGTAGAATTTATTTTTTTATATATACATCTAGTTTACCGTTTTTAAAATGAAGCAGTGTGTAAATCAGGAGCCTTAAAGGAGATTAATAAGTTGTCCCTTGGCCCACGTCCCGCCTCGGAGAGAGTTTGTCGAGTTTACGAACTTTGGGTCGCTAAGTTTCGTGATGTATGTGTAGCGTTACATAATATATCTTAGGTCAGATAGCTAAAGTAATGTGGAAAATTCGAATGTTTATATTCTACTATATAATGTATGGTGCAACATACGTTTCTGTTAGCTTAGCAGGTAAGCGTGCGAGTGTCAATCTTATCCATATATTTCTTCTTATCTGTGCGCAACACAAGCCGAAGCAGCCGTTTTATAACCATGACCTATCGTGAGAAATCAATGTAAGAGGCCAAGAAGTATAAAACTGGCTTATACCTATTAATAATATTACACTGGTTTATTAGTGAGCGAGAATATTGTCTATAATCTAGGTAGCCATTGAAAAGGCAAGTTAAAAATTTTACTACCAAACTCTGATATATTATATCTGATATTTTAATATAACCTTTCATGAATTGGCATAAAGATACATTTAGGTATTTATAGTAAAATGAACACCATAGAAAAGATTTTAAGCTTATTTTTATTTCTTGTACATGTGAATCTGATGTCATCATATAATATAGTACAATAAATATCTGCACTTACAGTGTATATAGTGATGAAAGGGCATTTTCTGGTATTATAGAGAGTTGTCACTTGCCGTTGTATGGACAAAATTCAAGGAGTTTGATGTTAGATGAAATTTTTTACAATTTTTTTTTTTTATAGAACAGGGGGCAAACTGGCAGGAGGCTCACCTGACGTTAAGTGATACCGCCGCCCATGGACACTCAATGCCAGAAGGCTCGTGTGTTGCCGGCCTTTTAAAAATTGGTACGCTCTTTTCTTGAAGGACCCTCAGTCGAATATATTTGGAATATGTATTCTAAACTTCGCATACCCTACACCCGAACAACGACTCGTTATTTATACTTATAAATATAGCACCCGGGCGTGAATAAATCGTAAATGAAAGAACCTTTGAACTAGTATCGTTGCGTTAACGATACGGAACATTAGTACATCGAAATGACCTATATTAAATGCGCACAGGCGGCGCGGTGCTCGTAAACGAATTTGGGACGAGCAATAAAATGATGATCTCATGGGATACAGGAATTTATCGTCTGCGCCTTTATGCTTTAATTATTATATCGTTACTTTAATTCCACGAAATACAATTTGTGCTGCAGAAGCGGGCGGTATTTGTTGTGTTTCCCCAAGTTCTCGTCAAGAATAGGTTTCTTGCGTCGGCTAACTGTGGAGCGTCAATTTTTCAATTGGTTTGTGACGTTTTACGTACAATTTTAATGGTTATAATGTGTGTATGTCACTGAGCTTAATATATAAGTTAGTTATTTAAATATGTTCGACGTCCTGGTGGACAGAAAAACTGTGTCCAGTTTGTGTTTCCACCACACCAACTTATTTTTTATTTAAGATCATGTATATAATAAATGAATAATAAAAAAAAGCAGGTACGGAATAAGTTTAAGGAATTAAATATTTTGTCACTATCTGGTCAATATATTCTTGAAGCCTAGTTGTACGTACAAAAAATATAAGCGATTTTTAAACAGATTTTTTTCACCAGTACGCAAAAGAACTAATTTGAGCGTACGACCAATCAGGCTCCAGAAGATAAACCACTCCTTATATGGAAATTGTTTTTGTTTTTACAACAAACTCCCAAGCGAAATTAGAGAATTATCACTAAATTAATTCAAAGCTCTCGTTAGACGTAAATTATTCAATAAAGCTTTTTATAATTTGACGAATATTTAAATGATCCTAATCCTTAGGATTGATTTGCTCCAGTTCAAACAATTTGTATGACTCAAACCTTAGCGATTAAAAAGCGAGGCGGAAAGTTTCTTGTCAGTACTTCTTGCCCGCTCTACGCCCTCGACTTGAGAACTGGTAGTAAATATAAATTTATAATTAATTTATCTTCTTTTTTGACGTTCATAATTTAGAGTTTGAGTTTACACGCGAGAATTTGACAATCTAAATGGAAAATATGTTTACCTGAAGATGGTCTTGCGAATACTGTATCGTTGTTTGCTTAACAACATTCCCACGAAGTAATCCTGTAGCAGTAGAACGTAAATTCAATTAAGTTACAAATTATATTCAACATTTGTATATTATAAAAGTTTCTTGTTTCAATCAAAAGTATGTCGTATTATGTAAGATATAAAGATACTAATACGGTGTTATATTACTGTATTTATTCAGCTTATTCTCTGAATTAAACAAATGCCCAAACGAAGTTTGCACATCCAACTATCACGACCCAACGGAAACAACCTCTCAGATTTGAGGTTGCTCTTAATATATTAAATTATAGTATTCCCAGAACTGCAGCCAGTCTTAACAGATTTTGACCGAGTTTAGCGACTGTTTCAACTAGTTATTGAAATCAAATAACAGCGTTCGGGTAACTTTGTAAGTAGGCTGATTAATGGAATTTATTTAACTACTAGCAATGCCCCGCTGTTTCACTCGCGTAGATACCGATCTCGTGGTAGAGAAAAGTCTAGTAAGTCGGACTATAGATATATTTTTGTTATCATAAAAGTTTTATTTTACTTAGTTTTCTTAGTTTTTAATTACTTCCTTTCAGATTATAAGATACACACGTATATTCATAATCGGACCAATATACAGATTTTGGACATTTTTTTGCTGAGAAATCGGTCCAGTTGTGTGAAAACATTACAAACATACATACAAAAACACAAATTTCCTCGTTATAATATTAGTATAGATGACACTTGGTGAAAAAAATAATGTGTATGCGTAATAATGGCTTTTTTAGTAATCTAAAGAGTCTTATATAGAATTTATAACTATTATGTGCACAGGCAAAAGTGTAAAAACGAAGCTTAGCTTTGGAAAAATCGCTATGTTTTTTATATTTTTCGGTTTCATTCAAAATCTGAATTATCAGACAGATCTAGACCAATAAGACATTTTTTATGTCAGAATTAGCTTAAAAATACGGTATTTTTATGATATTGTTATCGTAACTAATAAGTGTAATAATAATTAAGCCTTATTTATTCTTTGTAACATTTATGCATCTTTAGAAAATATACACACTTAAATACATGTATACCGTAGGTATGCATGAAAAAACACGACTTGTATACAAATAAACTATGTTTATTATGGAATATAAGATACTGGTATCACTTTTTCCACGTCATTAAATTTGAATTGAAAATTTTTATACATAATTAATTTTCTACAGTGCTATAACTATAACTAATGTCCATTATCATTGTTATTTGATATTTTCAAAATATAGTATTAGATAGATTATAAAGGAAGGCTTAGGTAAATTTACTGAAATATATTTTGAAAAGGTCGCTAATATTTTTGCCAAAATACACGTAATCCGCAGGCGAGTGGAAGCGTATTTATAAAATTATGAGGAAGATACGATGTTGACCTGGAATACTGTATGGACCATGGCAACAATGTTTTCCCCAATACTCAGGGAAATGTTACTCCTATAATATGTAACGGTCATTGA